TCAAAACGTCTTCGGTGCCTCAACTCTAAACCGTTTAACTGAACTATCACGTAGTTATCAAAATGTGTATGTCAGATGTTCGCAACATCCACAGACGACGTTCGAGGTTCAGCACACTGGGCGGTGCATTAAGGACATAAGCCTTCTATGAAGCAATGAGGACAATCCTCAGTTTACGGACCTAGTCCGCATAATTGCTACTATCAACTTTCAACTAAATTTTCTCTAGGAACATATCTAAACAGTAGAACTAAAGCGCGAGCCACGACATAATTTGCGAAGACCTTTTGACTATGTTTAGGATAATTAAGTTCATCTTATGAACTCTCACTCAGATAGACATCCCTCTAGTCATCTAAGTGATTACATGATCCGAGTCAACTAGGCCGTGTCCGATCATCACGTGAGACGGACTAGTCATCATCGGTGAACATCTTCATGTTGATCGTATCTACCATACGACTCATGCTCGACCTTTCGGTCTCTTGTGTTCCGAGGCCATGTCTATACATGCTAGGCTCGTCAAGTCAACCTAAGTGTTTCGCGTGTGTAAATGTAGCTTACACCCGTTGTATGTGAACGTAAGAATCTATCACACCCGATCATCACGTGGTGCTTCGAAACGACGAACTTTCGCAACGATGCACAGTTAGGGGGAACACTTTCTTGAAATTTTAATGAGGGGTCATCTTATTTACTACCGTCGTTCTAAGCAAATAAGATGTATAAACATGATAAACATCACATGCAATCAAAAAGTGACATGATATGGCCAATATCATTTTTGCTCCTTTTGATCTCCATCTTCGGGGCTCCATGATCATCGTTTGTCCTCGGCATGACACCATGATCTCCATCATCATGATCCCCATCATTGTGTCTCCATGAAGTTGTCTCGCCAACTTATTACTTCTACTACTATGGCTACCGGTTAGCAATAAAGTAAAGTAATTACATGGCGTTGTACAATGACACGTAGGTCATACAATAAATAAAGACAACTCCTATGGCTCCTGCCGGTTGTCATACTCATCAACATGCAAGTCGTGATTCCTATTATAAGAACATGATCAATCTCATACATCACATATCATTCATCACATTCTTCTTGGCCATATCACATCACATAGCATACCCTGCAAAAACAAGTTAGACGTCCTCTAATTGTTGTTTGCATGTTTTACGTGGCTGCTATGGGTTTCTAGCAAGAACGTTTCTTACCTACGCAAAAACCACAACGTGATATGCCAATTGCTATTTACCCTTCATAAGGACCCTTTTCATCGAATCCGATCCGACTAAAGTGGGAGAGACAGACACCCGCCAGCCACCTTATGCAACTAGTGCATGTCAGTCGGTGGAACCGGTCTCACGTAAGCGTACGTGTAAGGTTGGTCCGGGCCGCTTCATCTCACGATGCCGCCGAATCAAGATAAGACTAGTAACGGCAAGATAATTGACAATATCGACGCCCAGAACTACTTTGTGTTCTACTCGTGCATAGTAACTACGCATAGACCTAGCTCATGATGCCACTGTTGGGGAACGTAGCAAAAACTCAAAATTTTCCTACGTATCACCAAGATCTATCTATGAAGAAACCAGCAACGAGGGAAAGGAGAGTGCATCTACATACCCTTGTAGATCGCTAAGCGGAAGCGTTCAAGTGAACAGGGTTGAAGGAGTCGTACTCGTCGTGATCCAAATCACCGGAGATCCTAGTGCCGAACGGAGGGCACCCCGCGTTCAACACACGTACAGTCCGGTGACGTCTCCCATGCCTTGATCCAGCAAGGAGAGAGGGAGAGGTTGAGGAAGACTCCATCCAGCAGCAGCACAACGGCGTGGTGGTGGTGGAGGAGCGTGGTGATCCAGCAGGGCTTCGCCAAGCACCGCGAGATATGAGGAGAAATAGAGGTAGGGCTGCGCCAGGGAGAGATCAAGAACTCGTGTGTCTTGGGCAGCCCAAACCTCAAGTATATGTAGGGGGAGGGGAGGGGCTGCGCCCCCACCTAGGGTTCCCTCCCTAGGGGTGGCGGCAGCCCCTAGATCCCAAATGGGTGGCGGCCAGGTGGAGGGGAGAGGGAGGCGCACCAGGCATGGGCCCTAAGGCCCATCTGCCCTTAGGGTTTGCCCCCCTCCTCGTCTTAGGTGCTTTGGGCCCTTGTGGGGGGCGCACCAGCCCACCTGGGGCTGGTCCCCTCCCACACTTGGCCCATGCAGCCCTCCGGGGCTGGTGGCCCCACTTGGTGGACCTCCGGGACCCTCCCGGTGGTCCCGGTACATTACCGATAAAACCCGAAACTTTTCCGGCGACCAAAACAGGACTTCCCATATATAAGTCTTTACCTCCGGACCATTCCGGAACTCCTCGTGACGTCCGGGATCTCATCCGGGACTCCGAACAACATTCGATAACCACGTATATCTATTCCCTATAACCCTAGTGTCATCGAACCTTAAGTGTGTAGACCCTACGGGTTCGGGAGACATGCAGACATGACCGAGATGACTCTCTGGTCAATAACCAACAGCGGGATCTGGATACCCATGCTGGCTCCCACATGTTCCACGATGATCTAATTGGATGAACCACGATGTCAAGGACTTAATCAATCCCGTATACAATTCCCTTTGTCTAGTGGTACGATACTTGCCCGAGATTCGATCGTCGGTATCCCGATACCTTGTTCAATCTCGTTACCGGCAAGTCTCTTTACTCGTTCCGTAACACATCATCCCGTGATTAACTCCTTGATCACATTGTGCACATTATGATGATGTCCTACCGAGTGGGCCCAGAGATACCTCTCCGTTTACACGGAGTGACAAATCCCAGTCTCGATTCGTGCCAACCCAACAAACACTTTCAGAGATACCTGTAGTGTACCTTTATAGCCACCCAGTTACGCTGTGACGTTTGGCACACCCAAAGCACTCCTACGGTATCCGGGAGTTGCACAATCTCATGGTCTAAGAAAATGATACTTGACATTAGAAAAGATTTAGCATACGAACTACATGATCTTGTGCTAGGCTTAGGATTGGGTCTTGTCCATCACATCATTCTCCTAATGATGTGATCCCGTTATCAATGACATCCAATGTCCATGGTCAGGAAACCGTAACCATCTATTGATCAACGAGCTAGTCAACTAGAGGCTTACTAGGGACATGGTGTTGTCTATGTATCCATACATGTATCTGAGTTTCCTATCAATACAATTCTAGCATGGATAATAAACGGTTATCATGAACAAGGAAATATAATAATAACCAATTTATTATTGCCTCTAGGGCATATTTCCAACAGAATATGCATTTGAGTTTTCTCTCTCACTAAGCCATGTAAAATCTGTCACATAAGTGAATGTCTCTACTAAGGCCATGCATTTAAGTCTTCTCTCCTACTAAGTCGTGCAAAATCTGCCACATAAGCTAATGTCTCCACTAAGGTCATGCATTTAAGTATTCTCTGCCACTAACCTATGCAAAATCTGCCACATAAGCGAACTTACAAATTACAATTATTTTTGCATTCACATCATACATGCATGTTAGTCATCCTTCACATTTTTTTTCAAAATGATGTTTTTAACAGTAATTCAAAAATTTATACTCTATTTTTAGAGACTTTTTGTATTGATTTTCAAGCCTATATTTTCTTTTCATTAGGATTAGTTATTTTTTTGGCAACCATTTACGCATTTTTTAACGAAAGTATTGCAGCAACACGTGAGGTATCTAGTTATATTAATTGTAGCTCCTGCATGGAGCTACCCTCCTCTTTGATTTTGCAAAGCTGGTTGAGATTTCCGTTGGATTTTCTTGGACGAGACAAATATGCTCTTTTTCTCGGAACTTTCTGCTTTTCAACGTAGGAAAACTGTCACGTGGTACCACCGTGCTAGGGTTGTGTACAACCAGGGGCGGCCATATGTACCGGTATTACCTCCACTTTTTGTGTTCGCTTGGAACACAACGCATGCGTTGCGCCCACGCTCGGTTCGTCGTCCGTCCATGCACACATGCAGGGCCGTGACTTGGTGAGTGGCGCGATCACGGCAGAGACGAAGCGGCCGAAAGCAAAATCCGCCGTAGAAAATTTGGAGCCAGATTGCCAGCCGCTTCAAGCTCGTGCGAATATATTCATGCAAAATCTGGCAAAGCTGCCATGCATGAGAGCATGACACATGAGCTAGCTTGTCATCCAACCCCTTATAAATAGCCGACCAGACCTTGCAGCAGAAGCTTACGGCTCGCACACGCAGCACACACAAGCAACAGCTCAACGGAGACAACGCTGTGAGTGTCATCTCATCTCGATCTCCATGCCGACGATGATGTGCAAGCTTGTGGTGACCATGCTGTTGGTTCTCATGGCCACGACGCCCGGCTCATCGGCCCGGGCGGCGGCGAGGCCGTTGCAAGACGATCAGGTGCGCGCCTGGGAGCCCTCCGCCGGCGGCTCCATCGACATTGTGCTGCCGTCGCCGATGTGTTGGCGCGGACGCATGCTATCTCAGCTGGAGGAGAAGGGGGCCAACGGGTGCCCGAAAAGTCACGATCATAACACACATTGTTCCCCGCCATAGAGAGATGAGCGTCGTGTCTTTGCATGGCAGCCGATCGAGCATCAGGTTACTATCTTCGATGTGCAGATCGATGTGACGTAGGGATCGCTAGGCCTCAAACCTCTTGTCCGTTTTGTATCTGGTCGTTACTTGTAACCAAATAAAAATATACTTTCTCTGTTTTTATTTACTCTGCATATTAGCTTTGGTCAAAATCAAGCTTTATAAATTTTGACAAAGTTTATAGACAAAAATATTAATACGTATAGTAACAAATCAATATTAATATGTAGATGTGCAGATGCACTTCTACAGCAGGCTGGGTAGGAATACCAAAGCTGAACATGTCACCGGATTTTTCAGGTGAAAACTCCAGGCTTCGCCCTGATGCAAACTCTCCTTACCAAAGCTAACAATCTTAAACTGTTACACTCGGCGCACCCATTGTTCCAACCGCAGCTGTTTCATCGGAGGGCCAACATAGGGCTTGCCCTTGCGAGGGCACTTCCATTTCCCGCTGACCTCCTGTGCTGGAGCTCCTGCAACTTCTGAAATATTGGTCCTATCTGACAAGGGGCTTCTAGTGCTACCTTGGCCCAAAGCAGTAGTCCCCAAAATGCGGCGGTTCTCTTGCAATGTTGTATTCTCTCTTCCTGTTGAGACCTTAGGAATTTTGCTTGTCCTGCATTTCTCTGCTGGCTTCACCTTTGTCCTGATGGCAACGAAACCATCGGCCGCGGCTGTTCCTTCTGTTTTCTTATGCTCCAGTTTAGGCTTGCTTCGCTTGATTTCATCTCCAGAAAAGCTTCCATTTGTGACAGCTGAACCAATACCACCAGAACTAACAGGCGGTATGTAGTGTTCAGTGGCAGTTTTCTCAATGTCAGCTAGGACTTTATTAGGAGAATTGACTGGCATTTTGGTGCGCTCAATGCCATCTTCTACAAAACCACCTTCAGTATCCCCTGCTAAACTCGTACTACAACAGTAAACAGGCAGCCTGTTGTGTTCAATCACCTGACCTGATGGGGGATTTTCTTGAGTTTCACCTGTACTGATGGCATGACAATCTGCCGGTAGCTCACTGTATCCAGATGCACCGTCATGGGTTTGTTCAATATGAGGTAAGCCTACAGCGTTGCAGTTTGTCAGAGGCTGTACTGCATTTCTCTGTACAGCCAACACAGCCCGAGTTTCAGATTCATTAGCTTCATCACCGTCGTCAAGAAAACCTGATCCAAACAATTTCCGCAGACTTAACTTAGTCTTCTCACTACCCGCTAGGCCTTTACTAGGAAAATTAACTGGCAGGTTGCTATGTTCAATGCCATCTTCTAAACTAGTACCACCACAATTAACTGGATGCTTGCTGGGGTTGGTCTGCTGACCTCCTGGGGGGTTTACTTGTGTTTCAGCTATACAAGTGCCCTCACTATCCGTCACCAGCTCGCTGTATTCAACTGCGCCTTCATGGCTGCGCTTTCTATTCCGTAAGCCTATCCAGTTGCAGTCCCAACGAGGATCTACTGCACTTCTCAGCACAGACGACGCCACCCGACTTTCAGTTTGAGTAGCTTCGTCACGGTTGTCAAGAAAATCTGCTTCAAACAACCCTCGCAGACTTTGCTTAGTTTTCTCCGCATCTGCTAGGCCTTTACTGTGAAAATTAACTGGCAGGTTACTTTCAGTGCCATCTTCTGGTAAACCTTCTTCATTATCTGCTGCTAAACTAGTACCACCACAATTAACTGAACCTTTACTGTGCTTGGTCTCCTGACCTCCCGGGGGGTTTAACTGAGTTTCAGCTACACAAGTGCCCTCGCTATCCATCAGCAGCTCGCTGTGTTCAGCTACGCCTTCATGGCTGCGCTTTCTATTCCTTAAGCCCAACACCACTCGACTATCAGTCTGAGTTTCAGCTATACAAGTGCTCTCACTATCTGTCGGCAGCTCACTGTGTTCATCTACGCCTTCATGGCTGCGCTTTCTATTCCTTAAGCCTATCCAGTTGCAGTCGCACAGAGGATCTACTGCACTTCTCAGCGCAGGCAACACCACTCGACTATCAGTCTGAGTTTCAGCTACACAGGTGCTCTCACTATCCATCGGCAGCTCGCTGTGTTCAACTACACCTTCATGGATGCGCTTTCTATTCCGCAAGCCTATCCAGTTGCAGTCCCATGGACGATCCATTGCACTTCTCAGCACAGGCAACACCACTCGACTTTCAGTTTGAGTTTCAGCTATACAAGTGCTCTCACTATCCGTTGGTAGCTCGCTGTGTTCAACCATGCCTTCATGGCTGCGCTTTCTATTCTGTAAGCCTACCCAGTTGCGGTTCCACGGAGGATCCACCGCACTTCTCTGCACAGGCGACGCCACCCGATTTTCAGTTTGAGTACCCTCTTCATGGTCATCCAGAAAACCAAACAGCCCCCGCAGGCTTTGCTTCCTTTTCGTGCCCTGTTCAACAGTGCTCCCACCAATCGGAAGGAAATCTCTCGTAGCAGAAGCCTCAGCATGCTCAGCTTGGCTCCCAAAACAATCCCTCTTCAAATCAGTGCCGCCATTCCCAGGGGCGTCTTTAAGAAATGAATGCCCAGCCACCGGGAACTGGATCCCAGCATGCACAATTCAGCAAATATAATGGGTAAGAATACAATTGGGATAAGGTAGCAAGAGAAGCAATTTCAGTAGGATTTGGTTAAGACAGATCAGCAGATTCTTTACCTCCAATGGGTCTTGGGTCTCGCTGCCGTTGTCGACAGCAGGAGGGTGAACAGCCAGCTCCGGCACCTCCGGCGACTCGTACTGGTAACTCGAGAACCAGTTCTTGATGTCCGGCGGCTCTGACGAAAAACACCGAATACAACGTGAGCACGCTTCAGAGATCTAAAATCGTTGGAACAGAACATAGAATGGAAATTCATCAGGGCAGCAGAGGGCACCCACGGGAAGGGAACGAGAAGGGGTACGAGCTGCACCCGCGGGCCTGCAAGAACAGCGAAATCCGGTGAGACCGACGAAGCACCGATTGCGCCGCAGCGCCGGCAAACGGAACGGCGGTACAGAACCAAGAAGCGGAGATAGGAGGAGACCCTCGCGGCGAGGCGTACCTGGCTTTGGGTGGCGGATTCGTCGGCCATGGCGGAGGTGGGGCGGAAGCGAGCGGCGGGGATCGACGGGCGTGTCCCAGAGGAAGAGGCTCCGATTTGGTTTTGCTTCGGAGAGTCAAATTCCGAAGTTCCCGGGAAAAAGGGTGAGCCCGCGCGATAAGGGAGCGGGAGTTTTTTCGTTTTGGCGTTACGGGCGGCGATAACTGAATGGGCCGCCCGGCCCAGAAAAGATTCACCAGGCTGTCATTGGGCCTAGCTTCCGTTTGTTGTAACAAGAGATTACTGAAGGTTCCCTCAAAAAAAAAAGAGAGAGATTACTGAAGAAAAAAAGGATATTTATTTATGGACAGTCTCCGACACGGTTTTGGAGGCTGTACAACGCGGAGCTATTATCAAGAATCGCACTAGTCTGTTTCTTGCTGCATGTACGCCATGGACTTGAAGACTTGTAAGAAGAGGGAGAGGAAGGCGGCAAGATGTCCCCCCGAGTCGATGGAAGAGCTTGTTCTCGAGATATTTTTTCGGCTGCCAGTGAAGTCCCTCCTGCGGTTCAAGTCTCTCAGCAAGGCCTGGTGCGCAACCATCTCCGACCCCATGTTCATCCGGAGTCACCTTGAGCACCAGAAACCATCGTGGCTCATCACTCCCCACGCCTTGGACAGTACTATCGAAGCTGAGGAGTGGCCAACCACCTTCTCAACCCAAACCCGCTTCTACCGGTGGCAGCTAGGGCTAGGTGTCTCCGATACAAGGCTGATGCATGCAACTGACTTTCCCGGCGAGTTCAGCTCAATCGCTCTCATTGCCCACTGCGACGGTCTGGTGCTCTTCCCTACCAACACCAAGCTCTACCTCTTCAATCCGGCCACCAGGGAGACAATGACGTTGCCTGCAAGTAACCGTACCAAAACACAGTACAAACATATGTTCCTCCCGACGGGGTTTGGTTTGGACCATCGCACTGGCAAGTACAAGGTAGTCCGGGCATTCGTCCGCTCCAAAGATCCTCTCACAGAAGTTTACCGCATGGGGATGGAAGTGTTCACTGTTGGTGATGGTGAGGCATGTACTTCTTGGAGGGAAACCACGACTGATTTGCCTTACTCTGTGGTCGAGTGGATAACCGGGAAATTCGTAAACGGTGGATTGTTTTGGGTCATCGACAGGTTCCATCTTGAGCATGATCGAAATGGCTGCGTCCGCTTCAGCCTGGAAGATGAGACGTTCCGCGTCATTCGTCTACCGGATCCCTTGCCATTGGATCGTGCACTCCATGAATCCTTTCTGTTGGACGTGATTCAGCAGGGCAAGCTGTGCCTGACAGGTTTTACCAAGAGTGGGGGGGGAGTGGGGGTTTGGATATTGGTTGAAGATGATACTAACGTGAACTCGAGATGGGAGCATCGTTACTCTCTGTGTATATCAGATCTGGTTCAGCCAATGTCATTTCTTCCAGGGGCGCAATCATGCTACATTGTGGTCCCAATTTCTACCATTACGAGCTGCAGACGGCTTCTAACCCGTTGACCAAAGTGTTTGCGTTGGAAGGGCTAAGATACAAGCGTCGGAGGGAACACACTACTAAGCAGAATATCTTCTTCTTCAACGTAACTCCCTACATGGAAAATCATGTTCGTATTGCGTCTTAGCCGGCCCAACTTTGATGGTTGCGTTTCAGCTTGCGATAAGCTTATGTTTGTTATCTTTACCTAATTTGAAAGTCTTGTTAATTGCGATAAAAAGACTGAAGAGTATTTGCTTGGTTGTAATCTTTATTTTCCTTTTTTTTGAATCCTGGTATTGATAGATTTAACATATGTCCATGGCCTTCTCGTAAAGAAAAAAATATCAACGGAGCGGCATATTGACTCGTATGAACCATAACACCAAACCATAATTTGATACAAACAAAAAAGGTGATGACTTGTATGAACTCACCTCTTCAGGTGAAATCGTGTCAGATTAGCGTACAAAGGTTTTTGAAAATTTTGTGGTCAGCACTACAAAGGATATATCTACCATCTCATCAAATTTGAATTCGGATTTAACCCACACATTCAGTAACATAAAATGACAAATTCTACCGTGGATGCTAGTAGGTTCAAATTATGTTAGTATTATTCTCTATTTTTTGGCCAAAAAGGTGAAAGGCCATATATTATGTAGCAGATACCCTTAAGAAACACCCTTGCAGAAATTGACAAAATACATTCAAATTCTTTGGGGTGTCGAAGTTTTCTCTCCTGCATCTATCGGCGGTGCGCAATGAGAAAAGCTCGTTTTCGCATCGGGGTGTACGTCTTAGCAGCGCAAACTTGTTTAAACCTATAAGCTTGTAGAAGCATGACCAAAAAGTCATCGATCTAGACCAGAAGATGTCGGCAACTGCTTTCTATGTAACAAATCACCACCTCGGAGAAGAAAACACTAGAGAGGGCCTGTATAATGCCCATGTATGGCCAAATGGAGTAGGGGGCACAACTCTCACGTGCTCCTCGACAAGGCTGAAACCAAGCAACCTTTGTCGATCAAAACTGGAACCAAAGGACCAAGACGTGCCGATGCCGGCAACGCACCATTAGCTCTGCAAAACAAC